TGTGTGTGTGTAGAAGTCACTTATTGATAAATGTCTGAATAAGAAAGAAGAGCATGTGCAAAAAGGGTGTAGCTGTTGCAGTATACAGTGTGTTAAGAGGATGACTAAAGCTGGGCAGACACTGCGATTTTTTTTTTCAGTCGCGTTATTCAGCTTCTGCTCAAACTGTACGATTGACTCGCAGGGGTTAGAAGGTCGTAGGTCACAATGCAGGGTCTCACACTATACGGCCCGATGCTCTGATGCGCCCCGAGTGCTCACACTGTGCGTCCATAGCATGAAGGTTATAACATAAATTCTGTCGCTCGCTCCCTCTGTCTTTCACTCACACAGACACACCACCACCATCAACTTTGCTAAATTGCTAATTAAAAATCAGGCAGCTGTGATTGAGCAGCAATGTAAATTCAACTATTTTCATGGTTGTTGTGGTCGTGATAATTTTGTGAGGCCACATCGAAAAGGCTCGGATGAGCTTTCCAAAGTTCTACAAGTGCCTCCATCGCTTGTTTCCAGATCACACGCTGCACTGCTGCGCCGTCTTTTTCACCAACGTTTATGTGTTTGCGTGTGCGCAGTGTGAGCGGCTGCGGTGACACTCACTACGGTCATGTGGATTTCAAACCGGGAGCTGGTCATGAGGTTGCTTGCCATCACCAGTGTGTGAATGTGTGTGTGAATGGGTGGATGACTGGATATGTAAAGCGCTTTGGGGTCCTTAGGGACTAGTAAAGCGCTATATAAATACAGGCCATTTACCATTTACACGACGCACGATGAAGGCCAAAATCGGGCCGATCACCAAAACGTTTGCACGACTCAAAAATCGGCTCAAAATGGGCCAAAAATCGCACAGTGTAAACCCAGCATTGTACAGGGATGGTGTACATCAGCTGTTCACACAGGTGGAACGACTGCGTCCTGACCCTCAGAGCTCTCTCATATATCCAAAGCACACTGAGCCTCAGCTCATGTGTCTGAACTGCCGGAAATATTGAGCCACTAATTTGCTCTGCTAAAAACATAGCTGGCTGCTTTTTCTTTGTAAGGAAGTGACTGTTAGGAGATTAGAATAAGTTACCTTACATAGCACAAGATGAAATCTCACATTTTTATGTTTTCCTGCTGGGGAACTCCTTTCCTCCACCCTGTTTGGGATTTGCAGTAACAGTCCTCCATCATCACTGATCTCAGCTGACATGAAGCATGAGTCCTGAAGACTGTTAAGTCCTCTAAGCACACGCTGGTCAGGATAACGGAGAATGAGAATGGGGAAAGCAGATGAGTGAAACGGATGAACCAGAATTAGTTTGTAAAAATGGTGCAACTTCAAACTGGTTTGGTGTTTGTCCGTCAGATACACACAAAGCACATTTTTTTGTAGAACATGCAAGCGGGCCATCGTTATTGCCGTATTTGTCGGACTAAGGTGCTCGTTAAATCTGGGAGTAATCTGGGTCCTAAACTCCGTCCTATTCAGGTCCCAAAGTCAAACGAACATCACTGAGAGTTAAAAACTGTCTAAATTCTTTCATCTTTAATAAAATGATCAGCGTTGCTGCTTTACCAGGTGTAACAATTAAGTTTAACATCCAGGCATCCATGAAAACAGAATTTATATAATTTAACGGAGTTAGAAGTTAGCAGGAAGTTAGCTCGCTAGTTTCGCTAGTTAACATTTTGACAGAGATTTCTGAAAAAAATCAAACGTACAGCTCTGCTATCAATTCCAACATAAATGAAGACAAAACTGACGTTTGTAGGGTTACTGAAGTTGGGCTAGCTGGTATATAATGATGTGCTACGTGATCGCTAGCGACACAGCTATGTTAGCATAACATAAACAGTGAAGCTGGAGGACTAACACTTTTCCACTTATAAAAGTTAACGTGAAGGTTCCTGATAGTTAGAGACAAATGCAATCGCATGGCAGGATGCTGTAAACGGACCAAACTTCAGTCAGGAGAACAACTGAGATAATCCATCCACAATACAAGGTTAGTCATTAATATACTGCAACAACATGGGAATAGAGCAGCTGCCAGAGAATTCAACATTAATGAATCAATGGTACAGAAGTGGAGGAAGCAAGAAGAATGAGTTTAATAAAGTTTGATTTATCTGACTGCTTTGTTTCGCTTAATGTGCCTTATAATCCCGTGCACCTTATGGTCCGAAAAATACATTTGACTTTTTTATTTG